GCGACGCATCACCTTTCTCCGTCATCGTGCATAGGACAGCAGGTAGTGGTAGTGCGTAGTTTGCCCTCGGAAACTAAAATGAAGCACCTGCACGCATTAGGTTTCGAAATGATTGCTTTGATCTATGTTATCCGACCTCTGGTTTTTTTTCCAGTTTACTCATTCCTAACTTGTTACCTCTTGTTGTACATCACTGAAGGAGTTGTGCCGGTCCTGTGACCATGGCTTCGTTGCTCGTTCATGTGTCGGACTGTATTTTCCGTAGCATTATACTCGAGAAATTAGAGAAGCCCCGGGGGAGGTCACTTCGTCCGTGGCCTACAGGGAAATAAATTTGAATGGAGGAGAAAGACTTAAACCGGAATTCCCTCTTCTCGTAATTCTGAGGAATAAAATGTCTACTGCTGGTCCTTTGGAGACTTCCAAACTCAAATTCGTCCTCCTACGCATACATTGGATACAGTTTGACTCTCTATTTCAGTTTACTGCTATCAGGCTGACATTACGAGTATAAAGCTTCGTCAGTGCCCCGAAAGTTTGAGGTTACCAGACCCTTTTCGCCATCTCTAACACGGCTGCATGCACCCTTACTTTATCACCGCTCACTAATAACACGAATATTTAGGTGACTTATTTTCTTTTGTATATAGGAAGGGGCTTACTGATCCTGACATTTACTTGGCGGATTAATATAGACCGGTTTTGGCCCCCCTTACTGTGTCGTGCTAATTTGACTGAGTCCTGCGGCCCTAGAGATAAGGTTCCGCGTCTTAAACAAAACGGCATAGCGATAAGCAACCAGTTATACAATAGGGATCACCACAAGTGCGCTATCTACTGCAGTGCGAGTGCAACATCGTCTTTCACTAGACCGCATTTCAAACAGTTGAGGTAGGGTGTTTGCCGAAGAGAACTCGCGTAGTGATGGCACGATAATTGGCATCCATCACCTGCGGTCCCTGTCTATATTATCCACAACACGGGCGCATCACGAGTAGAATCGCAAGCTAACAGCAGCGTCGACAAGACTCGTCGTTTTCCGACAGTCGCGTACACAAGATGGGTATTCAACAGGTATATGCATCCCTCCAGGGCCATTTTGCTGGGTCTCTTCCTATAGTCGTGCACGCTATGCACAAGAAGTATTATGGTTTTGGTAGGATTATGTCGTGGGGTCGTCTGGGGAAAGTGTGAAGCGCGCCCCGCGGGCTAACGTACACCTGATTTTCGGGAAGACGACGACCGGGGCATGTCAGGGAACAAATTAGATCCCAGTATTTTTGTTAAATAAAAAAGTTACGAGGGCAAGTCGGGTCGCGTACTGAAACCTTGGGAGAAGACACTGAATGAGCTTTAATATCAT